CCCCACTCCCCCGGCCCCGCTCCTGGGTCACTTACCCAACTAGGTCAGGATGTATCAGTTGCATCTGGCTTTCCAGCTTGTTCTTATCGGCCCTGAGCAGCTGGAATCAACAACAGAGGAGCAGAGGGTGACTCAGTGTTTTAGATGTTCAGGGGTCAACGCTACAACGCGCTCATATCTGTCTTCAACACCAGGCTTTGGTTCAGTGTGTGTGAAGATCAGCAGGTGGTCCCATTCCCAGAGATAGTCTGTACAGTAGTACTCCTGGTACTCCCAGTTTAAAGTTACAAATATTACCTTTATAAATGTAATTAAAAACGAATTACAGTGTAATTTATTTTTTAATTTATATTTACGTCGTCAGTTCCTACGGCTCTTTCATCACCGTAGCTGATTGTATTACACGACAAACCAAACCAAGAGCTTACACTAATGACTTCATAACCTTAAGAAGTCATTATCTAAACAGCCAATTACAGAGTTTTAAATTTGAAAATCCTGACAGCTCCAGGATGTTGATATGCTGTAACACACACACCTCTATGACAGAAGAGTATTCCTCCATGGCTGCCTTCAGCTCCCTGATCTGTCTGCTTTTCTGTGAGAGACGGGAAAAAAACAACATAAAATCAATCATCAATCTAGTGATGTCAGATATTAACTTTTTTTTGCAGATATCTGATGTGGCAATATTGTCTGATCTAAAGAGTGAAAACCAATACATGCAGCTGATTTTCTCCAAAACTGCGATAAACATCTCAGCATCATTTGGAGAAAACCCAGGCATCAAATGATCAGGTTTTAATTATCGGAGAAAAAACAAAACAGTAACGATTCTGACAGCTAATACAAAATTTTGCTAAAATCAGGACAATAATATGAGTCGGCCAATATTATCGGACATCCCTAATTGAATTAACTCTGGATTCTATACACAATCAGACCAAAGAAAGTGCTCACCTCCTGCACCACCGTCTCCTTGTCACTCACAACAGAATCGAAGGAGTGAATTTGCACCTGAAGTCAGACAGAGAAAAGAAAAAGAAAAAACAACAACAATGTGGTGACGTGTCCAAAGAGACAGATGTTGAAGACACAGATCGACATTTGAATCACTGATCAGTTCCACCTGGAGGTCAGCGTTGGTGTCACACAGTTCCGTTATCCTCCTCTGAAGATCCTCCGTCTCCACGCTGACCTTAAAGTTCTGTCAACGACCAACAGGATATAGAGTTAGTGGAGTCGTTTACACATCTCTGTGGAATAAATATACACTAATGCAGTGTTTCCCAACCTTTTTTGGGCCACGGCACATAACTAAGGAAAGTAAGGAAAAACCCCAGGACACAGCACAAAACAAAAATCTCACAAAAAGTATATATGATAAAATATAGTAATATTCTAGTTTAAATTTACTAAAAAATGTACTCCTGTTGAGTTGAAGACAAAGCTAATATACTGGCAGGAATTGAAGAAAGACACAACAGCTTTGATAATATTCTTAGTTTTAATAACCATCTGCTGCCACCTAGTGGAAGAGGATTTTTTCCCACGGCACACCTAATGATCACAGTGGTTGGCAATCACTGCACTTAGGATTTGGATCACATGTTCCGCCCATAACCTACTGCTAACCAAGAAAATGATGCATCGATGCTAAGAAGTCAAAACTGACTCAGATATTTGTGTGAAAAGTAAAAAGCTGACATGTTGGATAACAAACAAACGTGCGTCACTAGTGAGTATTTGGAAAGTGAAGTACCTCTTCCTGCAGAGAGGCGATCTTGGCAATTAGTTCCTGGTTCTCTTTCTCCTGCAAACACAGATATATTTATAATGTGGAAAATAAAATACATTGGAAAGACTAACGCTTCAAGACCAAATTCAAGGCTCGGGGGCCAGATCTGGCCCAGCAACAAGTTCAAGACAGGCCTGAGACAACCCTTGTTGTTTGAAATGATTTTTCTTCTTGGTGTGTTACTATGTATAGTCATGCATTTATTATTTTAACAAATGTATGAGTAAACGCTATAAAATTCTGTAAAATGCCACATCTGCTAAAGTTATTACCAGCTCAAAATTATTATCATCATGATTGTAGACCTTTCTTAAAAACTGTATTTGCTCATAAACAAAAATGAAAATCCTTGAAAACAAGTTTTGATATCTGTTGTAATTAATTGAAGTTTAATTTAAATGTATGTTTCCTAGTATAAAAATGCATGATTTTGATAGGGCTTTTAAAAATAATAGCATTATTTTGGTAAATGTGTCCAATCAGAATTACATTTTGACAGACACTGTATATCCCATACTTCCACCGTCCAATCACTAAACATTGCTCTGAAACATGATTTAATTTATTTAAGCAGATAAAACCCACTGACATCAAGATCTCCACAGAATAAACTGTTGTTTCCCTCGTGTTCATCGACACGATTCAGTGCGGACTTGTTCACATTTGTATATCTATATTTAAAAAAAAAAAAAAATCATCACTTACCACATTCTTGCTGTGGGCCGAGGCACGAGCTCTTCCCTCCTCGGTGCAACTCAGTGTTGCCTTCATCTCCTCCACCTCCTCCTTCAACAGCTTCTCCTTCTGGGCCAGCTGCTGTTGACTGTTGGACAAAGAGTAGGTGTTTAAAAAAAAAAAAAAAAAAATCAATATAAGCAACAATAAATAGAGTCAGAGTCAGAGCATGCACAGTTACTGGGCCTTACACCCTAGCTTGGTTACGTAGCTCCTCGTTCTCCTCCGCCAACTTCTGGTTGGCGTCCTCCATGCCCTCCACCACCTGCTTCAGCTTCCTCACTTCCTCCTCCAGCTTCTGGTTACACATCTGGAGATCGGCGACGCAGTATACCAGCTCTGATGTTTCACTGGAGGGAGACGGGGGTGAGGAGAGGTAACCCAGAGACGAACAGGACTTAGGGACATGTTGGACACACACAGACGTTCTGACATTTGACGCCGTTATTTCACTCACAATTCTACTCTGGAGGCCTCTCCACCAAAGGCCTCCAAACTCCCTGAGGTCATGTTGAGGAGCAGCGATCTCCTTGCTGAAAGACACACACACAGTTAGAACATCAACACACAGATCCGAGTGTAATCTTTAAATCAGTCTAATGTAAACACTCACCAGACAAACGCTCTTTCAGTTTCACCGAGTCTTGAGTCGTGCTGTCTGTTTGTTCATCGCTGCAATGACAGAAGCGATGACATCACTATTTTTTCTTTTTTTCTAATCTTTGCCTGAACTCTGTAACTGACTGACTGGTGACTTTTTTTTTCTTTTCTCCCCACACAGATACCTGACGCTGCGACAGTCATCAATCCACTCCCTCATGACGGCGTGGTAGGTGTCCAGGTCAATGGAGACGTCCTTGTGCTCCGGGTCCAGCATGTTGCACAGCTCGTCCAGACCGCTGTCCCCGGAGCTTCGACTCGTGGTGTGTCTCAGGTAGTCGACAATGTGGGAGACGTACACTTTACCTGGCAACAAGGCGTCGACAGCAAAACAAGGAATTTGAGGAACCTTCTGGGAGATTTGTGTTTTTGGTAAAAGTATAGAAATTAAAAAAAAACGGCATTTATTTAAAGACAACCATTTGCACGACAAGCTCTCGTGGACCACAGAAAATGAGGTGACAGGATTTTGACCCGCGAGCCTCGAGTGAGACATGTGCTGATGTACAGTGCTTTTCTAGGAGTTACAGTTTAGCCTCAAAACATGACACAAAAACAGGAAAAAATTACGTCATAAATGAAAGAAAGAAATATACAGCTGCTGTAAAACACTGCTCTGAAAGAAAAACACATTGTAAAATTTGCTTAGAAGTTCTAGAAAAAGACCTCCATCGCAGGTCATCTGACCCAGAAGAAAACAAAGATCATTTATACTCGTACTACTGCGATACTAGTACTGACACTGGCTGCTGGAAAACTAAATGTATTATTTTTGTATGAAAGAGTACACAATACTACCTTAATTATTTGTATTGTTTTTATTGTCTATTCATGTTTTTTTCTTGGAACGGGTCGTACAAAACTAAATTTCGTATCAACTTCCCTGGTGCATATGACAATAAAGAGATTCTGATTCTGATTAAAAAATAGCCTTAATGACTACTGTGTATTAGTGTGTGTATGTTTGTGTGTACCTCGACGCTGTGTGTCACAGGCGTGGAAGATGGTGTCCAGGAGGTTCTCCTCACAGATGAGGCTGATTTCTGCCATGTTCTCCTTCTTGCGTTCGGAGGCCATCGAGACTGCTCCACGTCCAAGTGGAGAAAGAAAACAAATACAAACTGTACTCAGCCGTGAAACACGTCAGGCACATGATACAACCTGAGGCGCAGTAAATACTGCAGTGAACAGTCTGACACACACACACACACAAACACACTCCATTACAGAAACAGCAGAATGTGAGAAGGATAATGTAATAAAGTACAAAAGTACAAAGTTTGTAATTAATGCATTTATCTTCTTCTCACAAGTGTATTTGACAAATACCTCAGAGCGGTGACATTAGTGAGAAATCATCAGGTGTACTGTGACAAATTGTTTAATTTACTGCAAATAATCTGTCTTTGTCCATCTATAAAGTGTCTATAAACAACAATAAAAACACCCTTCCACTGGGTGGCAGCAGATGGTTAAAACAATAAAATATATCTGTTGAAGGAGCTCATGTTTCTTTCTTCAATTCTTGCGCATATGTGTTCAACTAAACAGGCACAGGTTTGGTAAAGAGTGAATCTACTGAGTAAATTGAATTGAATTCTGAATTAACCAAAAAAAAAAGCAACTTACAACTGACACAGTGTGTACATGTACTGATATGTACTGTATAAACATACTGTACCTCCGTCTCCCATGGACAGACGTTTGACAACCAGGGCAGGATAGGGCAGGTCACACTCCATGGGGTTTGTTGTTGCGTCTGAGGAGCAGAAGTTCAGGTTGTAGGACATGGAGTTGTGACTCGGTGTGAAGGTCCGAGACAGTAACGGACTCCGAGTCTGCTCCTCGCTCTCAGACTGAGGTCCTCGAGTGAAGGTAAAGTAAGGAGAGTCTTTGGCTTGTGCCGTCGGCGTCGAACAGTACCGCTGCCATGTTCTCAGCTGCTTGCCGTCGCTGCCCTCGGCTCCTCTCCTCTCTCCCAGAGTGCTGGTGATGGTGTA